TGGGTAGTAACAAGTGGTGCTCAAGTGTTGTGGTATATGGGGGGGGGTAGTAACAAGCAGTGCTCAAGTGTTGTGGTATATGGGGGGGGGGTAGTAACAAGCAGTGCTCAAGTGTTGTGGTATATGGGGGTGGGTAGTAACAAGTGGTGCTCAAGTGTTGTGGTATATGGGGGGGGGTAACAAGCAGTGCTCAAGTGTTGTGGTATATGGGGGGGGGGGGGGTAGTAACAAGTGGTGCTCAAGTGTTGTGGTATATGGGGGGGGGTAGTAACAAGTGGTGCTCAAGTGTTGTGGTATATGGGGGGGGTAGTAACAAGCAGTGCTCAAGTGTTGTGGTATATGGGGGGGGTAGTAACAAGCAGTGCTCAAGTGTTGTGGTATATGGGGGGGGTAGTAACAAGCAGTGCTCAAGTGTTGTGGTATAGGGGGGGGGGGGTAGTAACAAGCAGTGCTCAAGTGTTGTGGTATATGGGGGGGGGGGGGGGGGGTAGTAACAAGTGGTGCTCAAGTGTTGTGGTATATGGGGGGGGGGGGGTAGTAACAAGTGGTGCTCAAGTGTTGTGGTATATGGGGGGGGGGGTAGTAACAAGTGGTGCTCAAGTGTTGTGGTATATGGGGGGGGGGGGTAGTAACAAGTGGTGCTCAAGTGTTGTGGTATATGGGGGGGGTAGTAACAAGTGGTGCTCAAGTGTTGTGGTATATGGGGGGGGGGGGTAGTAACAAGTGGTGCTCAAGTGTTGTGGTATATGGGGGGGGGTAACAAGTGGTGCTCAAGTGTTGTGGTATATGGGGGGGGGGGGTAACAAGTGGTGCTCAAGTGTTGTGGTATATGGGGGGGGGTAACAAGTGGTGCTCAAGTGTTGTGGTATATGGGGGGGGGGGGGTAACAAGTGGTGCTCAAGTGTTGTGGTATATGGGGGGGGGTAGTAACAAGTGGTGCTCAAGTGTTGTGGTATATGGGGGGGGGGGGTAACAAGTGGTGCTCAAGTGTTGTGGTATATGGGGGGGGGGTAGTAACAAGTGGTGCTCAAATGTTGTGGTATATGGGGGGGTAGTAACAAGCGGTGCTCAAGTGTTGTGGTATATGGGGGGGGTAGTAACAAGTGGTGCTCAAGTGTTGTGGTATATGGGGGGGGGTAACAAGTGGTGCTCAAGTGTTGTGGTATATGGGGGGGGGTAGTAACAAGTGGTGCTCAAGTGTTGTGGTATATGGGGGGGGGGTAGTAACAAGTGGTGCTCAAGTGTTGTGGTATATGGGGGGGGGGGGGTAACAAGTGGTGCTCAAGTGTTGTGGTATATGGGGGGGGGGGGTAGTAACAAGTGGTGCTCAAGTGTTGTGGTATATGGGGGGGGGGGTAACAAGTGGTGCTCAAGTGTTGTGGTATATGGGGGGGGTAGTAACAAGTGGTGCTCAAGTGTTGTGGTATATGGGGGGGGGGTAGTAACAAGTGGTGCTCAAGTGTTGTGGTATATGGGGGGGGGGGGGTAGTAACAAGTGGTGCTCAAGTGTTGTGGTATATGGGCGGGGGGGGGGTAGTAACAAGTGGTGCTCAAGTGTTGTGGTATATGGGGGGGGGGGGTAGTAACAAGTGGTGCTCAAGTGTTGTGGTATATGGGGGGGGGTAGTAACAAGTGGTGCTCAAGTGTTGTGGTATATGGGGGGGGGGGCTCAAGTGTTGTGGTATATGGGGGGGGCTCAAGTGTTGTGGTATATGGGGGGGGGTAGTAACAAGTGGTGCTCAAGTGTTGTGGTATATGGGGGGGGGGGTAGTAACAAGTGGTGCTCAAGTGTTGTGGTATATGGGGGGGGGCTCAAGTGTTGTGGTATATGGGGGGGGGGGGGTAGTAACAAGTGGTGCTCAAGTGTTGTGGTATATGGGGGGGGGGGTAGTAACAAGTGGTGCTCAAGTGTTGTGGTATATGGGGGGGGGGCTCAAGTGTTGTGGTATATGGGGGGGGGGCTCAAGTGTTGTGGTATATGGGGGGGGTAGTAACAAGTGGTGCTCAAGTGTTGTGGTATATGGGGGGGGGGTAGTAACAAGTGGTGCTCAAGTGTTGTGGTATATGGGGGGGGGGTAGTAACAAGTGGTGCTCAAGTGTTGTGGTATATGGGGGGGGGGGTGGTAGTAACAAGTGGTGCTCAAGTGTTGTGTGGTATATGGGGGGGGGGGGTAGTAACAAGTGGTGCTCAAGTGTTGTGGTATATGGGGGGGGTAGTAACAAGTGGTGCTCAAGTGTTGTGGTATATGGGGGGGGTGGGGTAGTAACAAGTGGTGCTCAAGTGTTGTGGTATATGGGGGGGGGTAGTAATAAGTGGTGCTCAAGTGTTGTGGTATATGGGGGGGGGTAGTAACAAGTGGTGCTCAAGTGTTGTGGTATATGGGGGGGGTAGTAACAAGTGGTGCTCAAGTGTTGTGGTATATGGGGGGGGTAGTAACAAGTGGTGCTCAAGTGTTGTGGTATATGGGGGGGGGGGTAGTAACAAGCAGTGCTCAAGTGTTGTGGTATATGGGGGGGGGTAGTAACAAGTGGTGCTCAAGTGTTGTGGTATATGGGGGGGGTAGTAACAAGCAGTTCTCAAGTGTTGTGGTATATGGGGGGGGGGGGGTAGTAACAAGCAGTGCTCAAGTGTTGTGGTATATGGGGGGGGGTAGTAACAAGTGGTGCTCAAGTGTTGTGGTATGGGGGGGGGGGGGGGGGGTAGTAACAAGCAGTGCTCAAGTGTTGTGGTATATGGGGGGGGGTAGTAACAAGTGGTGCTCAAGTGTTGTGGTATATGGGGGGGGGGGTAACAAGCAGTGCTCAAGTGTTGTGGTATATGGGGGGGGGGGGTAGTAACAAGCAGTGCTCAAGTGTTGTGGTATATGGGGGTGGGTAGTAACAAGTGGTGCTCAAGTGTTGTGGTATATGGGGGGGGGGGGTAACAAGCAGTGCTCAAGTGTTGTGGTATATGGGGGGGGTAGTAACAAGTGGTGCTCAAGTGTTGTGGTATATGGGGGGGGGGTAGTAACAAGTGGTGTTCAAGTGTTGTGGTATATGGGGGGGGTAGTAACAAGCAGTGCTCAAGTGTTGTGGTATATGGGGGGGGGGGGGGTAGTAACAATGGGGGGGGGGGGGTAGTAACAAGCAGTGCTCAAGTGTTGTGGTATATGGGGGGGGGTAGTAACAAGCAGTGCTCAAGTGTTGTGGTATATGGGGGGGGGGGTAGTAACAAGCAGTGCTCAAGTGTTGTGGTATATGGGGGGGGGGGTAGTAACAAGTGGTGCTCAAGTGTTGTGGTATATGGGGGGGGTAGTAACAAGTGGTGCTCAAGTGTTGTGGTATATGGGGGGGGTAGTAACAAGTGGTGCTCAAGTGTTGTGGTATATGGGGGGGGGTAGTAACAAGTGGTGCTCAAGTGTTGTGGTATATGGGGGGGGGGTAGTAACAAGTGGTGCTCAAGTGTTGTGGTATATGGGGGGGGGGGGTAGTAACAAGTGGTGCTCAAGTGTTGTGGTATATGGGGGGGGGGTAGTAACAAGCGGTGCTCAAGTGTTGTGGTATATGGGGGGGGTAGTAACAAGCAGTGCTCAAGTGTTGTGGTATATGGGGGGGGGTAGTAACAAGCAGTGCTCAAGTGTTGTGGTATATGGGGGGGGGGGGGTAACAAGCAGTGCTCAAGTGTTGTGGTATATGGGGGGGGTAGTAACAAGTGGTGCTCAAGTGTTGTGGTATATGGGGGGGGTAGTAACAAGCGGTGCTCAAGTGTTGTGGTATATGGGGGGGGGGGTAACAAGCAGTGCTCAAGTGTTGTGGTATATGGGGGGGGGGGGTAGTAACAAGCAGTGCTCAAGTGTTGTGGTATATGGGGGGGGGGGTAGTAACAAGTGGTGCTCAAGTGTTGTGGTATATGGGGGGGGGTAGTAACAAGCAGTGCTCAAGTGTTGTGGTATATGGGGGGGTAGTAACAAGTGGTGCTCAAGTGTTGTGGTATATGGGGGGGGGGGGTAGTAGTAACAAGTGGTGCTCAAGTGTTGTGGTATATGGGGGGGGGTAGTAACAAGTGGTGCTCAAGTGTTGTGGTATATGGGGGGGGGGGTAGTAACAAGTGGTGCTCAAGTGTTGTGGTATATGGGGGGGGGTAGTAACAAGCGGTGCTCAAGTGTTGTGGTATATGGGGGGGGGTAACAAGCAGTGCTCAAGTGTTGTGGTATATGGGGGGGGGTAGTAACAAGCAGTGCTCAAGTGTTGTGGTATATGGGGGGGGTAGTAACAAGTGGTGCTCAAGTGTTGTGGTATATGGGGGGGGGGTAGGGTAGTAACAAGTGGTGCTCAAGTGTTGTGGTATATGGGGGGGGTAGTAACAAGCAGTGCTCAAGTGTTGTGGTATATGGGGGGGGGGGTAACAATCAGTGCTCAAGTGTTGTGGTATATGGGGGGGGGGGGTAGTAACAAGTGGTGCTCAAGTGTTGTGGTATATGGGGGGGGGGTAACAAGCAGTGCTCAAGTGTTGTGGTATATGGGGGGGGGGCTCAAGTGTTGTGGTATATGGGGGGGGGTAGTAACAAGTGGTGCTCAAGTGTTGTGGTATATGGGGGGGGGGTAGTAACAAGCTGTGCTCAAGTGTTGTGGTATATGGGGGGGGGTAGTAACAAGCAGTGCTCAAGTGTTGTGGTATATGGGGGGGGGGTAGTAACAAGCAGTGCTCAAGTGTTGTGGTGTATGGGGGGGGTAGTAACAAGCAGTGATCAAGTGTTGTGGTATATGGGGGGGGGCTCAAGTGTTGTGGTATATGGGGGGGGTAGTAACAAGCAGTGCTCAAGTGTTGTGGTATATGGGGGGGGGGCTCAAGTGTTGTGGTATATGGGGGGGGGGCTCAAGTGTTGTGGTATATGGGGGGGGCTCAAGTGTTGTGGTATAAGGGGGGTCACAGCCTGACCCTGGGCCCAAAGGGACAGCGATAGGCCTCCCATGCAGCCCAGCATCGCCCCTGGACAATGGTATAGAGGTGACGTCCTCACCTGAGCCAGCAACACAACACTTGCAGCTCCTTCCTTCACATCCTTTCGTGTACTCGCTCTCGCCGGCTGAACACGAAGTCCTGCAGTACCCTCCTCGCTTGGTGCATCGTCTCCGGGGCTTGCACTCTGTGAGTACACAACGCCACTCTCTAGTTTACACTCTATAATGGCTGGCAGGAGAAGTGGAAGGACTGGTGGCCTGCTCACCAGTTTGAACTAAGGGAAGTAACATAGACATATTCCGTAATGCAAGGAGAGTGTTAGTAGACACACACACACACACACACACACACACACACACACACACACACACACACACACACACACACACACACACACACACACACAAGGGAAGTATTGTCGACGACTATGTCGACCGTGCTCTCTCTCTCTCACAGGTAAAGTGTACGTGCTCTCTCACAGGTCTACTGTACGCCCTCTCTCTCACAGGTGAAGTGTACGTGCTCTCTCACAGGTCTACTGTACGCCCTCTCAAAGGTGAAGTGTATGTGCTCTCTTATAGGTCTACCGTACGCCCTCTCTCTCACAGGTCAACAGAATGCGCTAAAGATTGCGGGTGTCAGCAAACAAGAGTGTAGGTGTCAGCCACCAAGAGTGCAGGTGTCAGCCAACAAGAGTGTCGATGTCAGGCAACATGAGTGTGGGTGTCAGCCAACAAGAGTGCTGGTGTCAGCCAACAAGAGTGTCGATGTCAGGCAACAAGAGTGTGGGTGTGTCAGCCAACAAGAGTGTGGGTGTCAGCCAACAAGAGTGCAGGTGTCAGCCAACACGAGTGTGTGTGTCAGCCAACAAGAGTGATAGTGTCAGCCAACAAGAGTGCAGGTGTCAGCCAACACGAGTGTGGGTGTCAGCCAACAAGAGTGCGGGTGTCAGCCAACAAGAGTGAGGGTGTCAGCCAACACGAGTGCGGCATCAGCCAACAAGAGTGCGGGTGTCAGCCAATACGAGTGCGGGTGTCAGCCAACAAGAGTGATAGTGTCAGCCAACAAGAGTGAGGGTGTCAGCCAACACGAGTTCGGGTGTCAGCCAGCAAGAGTGCAGGTGTCAGCCAACAAGAGTGAGGGTGTCAGCCAACAAGAGTGTGGATGTCAGCCAACAAGAGTGCAGGTGTCAGTCAACATGATTGCGGGTGTCAGCCAACAAGAGTGTGGATGTCAGCCAACACGAGTGAGGGCGTCAGCCAACAAGAGTGTGGATGTCAGCCAACACGAGTGAGGGCGTCAGCCAACAAGAGTGTGGATGTCAGCCAACAAAAGTGCGGGTGTCAGCCGACACGAGTGCGGGTGTCAGCCAAATAAGAGTGTGGATGTCAGCTAACAAGAGTGTGGATGTCAGTCAACACTAATGCGGGTGTCAGCCAACAAGAGTGTGGGTGTCAGCTAACAAGAGTGTGGGTGTCAGTCAACACTAATGCGGGTGTCAGCCAACAAGAGTGTGGGTGTCAGCCAACAAGAGTGTGGGTGTCAGCCAACAAGAGTGTGGGTGTCAGCTAACAAGAGTGTGGATGTCAGTCAACACTAATGCGGGTGTCAGCCAACAAGAGTGTGGGTGTCAGCCAACAAGAGTGTGGGTGTCAGCCAACAAGAGTGTGGGTGTCAGCTAACAAGAGTGTGGATGTCAGCCAACACGAGTGAGGGCGTCAGCCAACAAGAGTGTGGATGTCAGCCAACACGAGTGAGGGCGTCAGCCAACAAGAGTGTGGGTGACAGCCAACAAGAGTGTGGGTGTCAGCCAACAAGAGTGTGGGTGTCAGCCAACAAGAGTGTGGACGTCAGCCAACAAGAGTGTGGATGTCAGCCAACACGAGTGAGGGTGTCAGCCAACAAGAGTGTGGGTGACAGCCAACAAGAGTGTGGGTGTCAGCCAACAAGAGTGTGGGTGTCAGCCAACAAGAGTGTGGGCGTCAGCCAACAAGAGTGTGGATGTCAGCCAACAAGAATGTGGATGTCAGACAACACGAGTGAGGGCGTCAGCCAACAAGAGTGTGGATGTCAGCCAACACGAGTGAGGGCGTCAGCCAACAAGAGTGTGGATGTCAGCCAACAAGAGTGTGGGTGTCAGCCAACAACAGTGTGGGTGTCAGCCAACAAGAGTGTGGATGTCAGCCAACAAGAGTGTGGGTGACAGCCAACAACAGTGTGGGTGTCAGCCAACAAGAGCGTGGGTGTCAGCCAACAACAGTGTGGGTGTCAGCCAACAAGAGCGTGGGTGTCAGCCAACAAGAGCGTGGGTGTCAGTCAACAAGAGCGTGGGTGTCAGCCAACAAGAGCGTGGGTGTCAGTCAACAAGAGCGTGGGTGTCAGCCAACAAGAGTGTGGGTGACAGCCAACAAGAGTGTGGGTGACAGCCAACAAGAGTGTGGGTGTCAGCCAACAAGAGTGTGGGTGTCAGCCAACAAGAGTATGGGTGACATCCAACAAGAGTGTGGGTGTCAGCCAACAAGAGTGTGGGTGTCAGCCAACAAGAGTATGGGTGACAGCCAACAAGAGTGTGGGTGTCAGCCAACAAGAGTGTGGGTGTCAGCCAACAAGAGTATGGGTGACAGCCAACAAGAGTGTGGGTGACAGCCAACAAGAGTGTGGGTGACAGCCAACAAGAGTGTGGGTGTCAGCCAACAAGAGTGTGGGTGTCAGCCAACAAGAGTGTGGGTGTCAGCCAACAAAAGTATGGGTGTCAGCCAACAAGAGTGTGGGCGTCAGCCAACAAGAGTGTGGATGTCAGCCAACACGAGTGGGGGCGTCAGCCAACAAGAGTGTGGGTGTCAGCCAACAAGAGTGTGGGTGTCAGCCAACAACAGTGTGGGTGTCAGCCAACAGGAGCGTGGGTGTCAGCCAACAACAGTGTGGGTGTCAGCCAACAAGAGCGTGGGTGTCAGTCAACAGGAGCGTGGGTGTCAGCCAACAAGAGTGTGGGTGTCAGCCAACAAGAGCGTGGGTGTCAGCCAACAACAGTGTGGGTGTCAGCCAACAAGAGCGTGGGTGTCAGCCAACAAGAGTGTGGGTGACAGCCAACAAGAGTGTGGGTGTCAGCCAACAAGAGTGTGGGTGACAGCCAACAAGAGTGTGGGTGGCAGCCAACAAGAGTGTGGGTGTCAGCCAACAAGAGTGTGGGTGTCAGCCAACAAGAGTGTGGGTGTCAGCCAACAAAAGTATGGGTGTCAGCCAACAAGAGTGTGGGTGTCAGCCAACAAGAGTGTGGGTGTCAGCCAACAAGAGTGTGGGTGTCAGCCAACAAGAGTGTGGGTGTCAGCCAACAAGAGTGTGGGTGTCAGCCAACAAGTGTGGGTGTCAGCCAACAAGAGTGTGGGTGTCAGCCATCAAGAGTGTGGGTGTCAGCCAACAAGAGTGTGAGTGTCAGCCAACAAGAGGTTGGGTGTCATCCAACAAGAGTGTGGGTGTCAGCCAACAAGAGTGTGGGTGTCAGCCATGAAGAGTGCTGGTGTCAGCCAACAAGTGTGGGTGTCAGCCAACAAGAGTGTGGGTGTCAGCCATCAAGAGTGTGGGTGTCAGCCAACAAGAGTGTGGGTGTCAGCCAACAAGATTGTGGGTGTCAGCCAACAAGAGTGTGGGTGACAACTAACAGGAGTGTGGGTGACAGCCAACAAGAGTGTGGGTGTCAGCCAACAAGAGTGTGGGTGTCAGCCAACAAGAGTGTGGGTGTCAGCCAACAAGAGTGTGGGTGTCAGCCAACAAGAGTGTGGGTGACAGCCAACAAGAGTGTGGGTGACAGCCAACAAGAGTGTGGGTGTCAGCCAACAAGAGTGTGGGTGTCAGCCAACAAGAGTGTGGGTGACAGCCAACAAGAGTGTGGGTGACAGCCAACAAGAGTGTGGGTGTCAGCCAACAAGAGTGTGGGTGTCAGCCAACAAGAGTGTGGGTGTCAGCCAACAAGAGTGTGGGTGTCAGCCAACAAGAGTGTGGGTGTCAGCCAACAAGAGTGTAGGTGACAGCCAACAAGAGTGTGGGTGACAGCCAACAAGAGTGTGGGTGTCAGCCAACAAGAGTGTGGGTGTCAGCCAACAAGAGTGTGGGTGTCAGCCAACAAGAGTGTGGGTGTCAGCCAACAAGAGTGTGGGTGACAGTAAACAAGAGTGTGGGTGACAGTAAACAAGAGTGTGGGTGTCAGCCAACAAGAGTGTGGGTGTCAGCCAACAAGAGTGTGGGTGTCAGCCAACAAGAGTGTGGGTGTCAGCCAACAAGAGTGTGGGTGACAGCCAACAAGAGTGTGGGTGTCAGCCAACAAGAGTGTGGGTGACAGCCAACAAGAGTGTGGGTGACAGCTAACAAGAGTGTGGGTGTCAGCCAACAAGAGTGTGGGTGACAGCCAACAAGAGTGTGGGTGTCAGCCAACAAGAGTGTGGGTGACAGCCTACAAGAGTGTGGGTGACAGCCAACAAGAGTGTGGGTGTCAGCCAACAAGAGTGTGGGTGACAGCCAACAAGAGTGTGGGTGACAGGCAACAAGAGTGTGGGTGTCAGCCAACAAGAGTGTGGGTGTCAGCCAACAAGAGTGTGGGTGTCAGCCAACAAGAGTGTGGGTGACAGCCAAGAAGAGTGTGGGTGTCAGCCAACAAGAGTGTGGGTGTCAGCCAACAACAGTGTGGGTGTCAGCCAACAAGAGTGTGGGTGACAGCCAACAAGAGTGTGGGTGACAGCCAACAAGAGTGTGGGTGTCAGCCAACAAGAGTGTGGGTGTCAGCCAACAAGAGTGTGGGTGTCAGCCAACAAGAGTGTGGGTGTCAGCCAACAAGAGTGTGGGTGTCAGCCAACCAGAGTGTGGGTGTCAGCCAACAAGAGTGTGGGTGTCAGCCAACAAGAGTGTGGGTGACAGCCAACAAGAGTGTGGGTGTCAGCCAACAAGTGTGTGGGTGTCAGCCATCAAGAGTGTGGGTGTCAGCCAACAAGAGTGTGGGTGTCAGCCAACAAGAGTGTGGGTGTCAGCCATCAAGAGTGTGGGTGTCAGCCAACAAGAGTGTGGGTGTCAGCCAACAAGAGTGTGGGTGACAGCCAACAAGAGTGTGGGTGTCAGCTAACAAGAGTGTGGGTGTCAGCCATCAAGAGTGTGGGTGTCAGCCAACAAGAGTGTGGGTGACAGCCAACAAGAGTG